GGATACATCTGCAGTAGTACCCTGTGGAATTCATGGATTAAATTATTTTGCTGATAACTAACATCCATAGAAAGATCAGATGTGGTCTCTGGTTTCATGAAACACCATGTGCTGTTTTTCTTACACAAAATCTTCAAACTCATCCTTTGCTTATTTATTTGAATGTGAAATCCCCTCTCTTGAAATTTAAATGGGTGAAATCAAATCTCTTTTAAGGAGTTTTAAACTTGCAAGGTCAAGGGAGAATGACATGTTCAAATAAATATGAGTTCCATCTTTCATTTTTCCTTGTGATGAGAGAATCAGAGTGGTAAGTGGTGATGGGAAGTAATACTGGGCTAGCTCCATAAACTGTTTGCCTCAAATGTTTTGATTCATATGTGATTTAAAGATTGTGTCTCCCTAAATCAACCACGTTAAAAAACAAATAGGGAAAATATATGATAGTGTGTTTTGTGGTACAGAATGTGGCAACTTTTCTCTCTCTTATCAACTTTCCTGCTTTCTAGCTGCATATATCTAAAAGTCAAGTATAAAAATCTTCTCTTCCCAACAAATTATCTTTATATTTTGTGAGTGGAAAGGATAAGCACACAAAATTCCTAAAGTGAATGTTTTCCTTATAATAATTTTCTTCTCATTAGAACTGTGTAGAATAAGAACTGTTAAAAGTATAACTTCCTCTTTCCACCCTTTGTGTCAAGGAGTGCCATGCTAAACTGATAAATACGTTTTGCAATGTCTGAGTGTTAACAGATGGCAATTGTATGCAGTAGAGGTGGATGAAGTGGTTTTCTTCTGGAAATGATTTGGAAATAACTGTGTAATGTAACTATGGTGTTCACCAGCTGTTGCCTTAGTGCCTGTATGCTTTTAAATATGCCTCTGAACTTGGGACACCATCTCTTGTCCATTTGCAATGGATTAAGTTTGCATTAAGCCAGATTATATTTTTTTTCTGTCATAGTAAATAAAACCAGTGCTATATTGATGAATTGTAAATAATGAACACCTGAGAATTATGTAAGGAGGCAAACCCTTGTTTTTTTGTTGCAATTTTTTTCTCCTTTTCAGTGAAATGATGAGATTCTTCCTGCTGGTATTAGTATGAACTCTCACAAATTTTGCATAAATTTCGTAATTGTGCAAAGTTGTGATTGCTGCTGCCTACTTGGAAAATTAGAAGCATAATTTGCATCTTTTTGATCAATTGGCCAGTCTTTCTGCACTGTTCTGAGTGTGTGTCTGTGTTTTCACAAAGGAAAAAGATAGCAGTTTTGTGCAGCAACATTTTGTACAAATTGCAGCAACTTCAGTGAAAAATTGTTATTTTGTTAGAAAGTGAGAAATCTCACAAGCGTGTATGTACATCAGTCATTTCTCAACAGACTGTCAGTGTGTGAAGATGCCTTGTCTCATCAAGAATGAGTTAATGTGAGGCATTTCCCCATTTTAAAGTATAACGGTGCTTTATCATACATGTTTAAAAAATGGCTGATGGGATAAAGGCCCACAGGTTGCATCCTACCAACATAGCAACATCACCATGTCCTTCTTTCCCACTCTTTCTTTTGTTTGTTCTAAAGGAAATCTGTCAGGAGGAAACAAAACCAGAAGTGTATAGAAAGATATGCCTATATGGTAAGAAGAAGAAGAAGAAGAAGCAAATCCTATTTTGTAGTTTGGAGTTGAGAATGAATGGGTTATGGATCTGAAAAAGTTGTGGGCTGAAATACAGCACCCCTTTCTCTGTAAACCAGTTGATTTTCAATCACTATGAAGCATAGTGTTCTATAACAATTGATCATTATACCTCAGCTGTGAAATGCCTGATGGATATTTTCCTTTGGAGAATGTTTTGGGTTATCTTGGCTCCAGGACAAGGGAAGTAGCCATTGTTAAGGACCAAGTCTTTATGGCATTGCAACTGAAATAATACATTGTAAATGTGAGCAATACATTTATTTCACTGGATTACAATGCTGGCGCTGCAGTAAGTCATTCAGTCTTCAAAGTATCTCAGTAGATAGTTTCTGGATTTTTTTTGTTTTGTTTTGTTTTGTCATACATGCCTAAACTGACTAACATGGCTGCCTCTTTGAAAACTGTAAATGAGAGAAATTGCTTATGCTATTTTCGACACCATGTATTTTTCCCCCATAATTTTTCCTGATGAATATGAAATTAGATGCATTTTCATTAAGTATGATGAATTATGGTCAATGATAATGACATGAAGGTTAGTCATGAGTAGCAAAAGCAACTGAAGTCTTTATCAGCAAAGATTGTGCACAGATGTCCATCAAAACAAAAAGTGGAGAAAAAATATCCTGCTAATTATATAGATTCCCCAGAAGGTGGTGAATTAGTGAAAAAGAATGAATATTTTTTATCATGTTACTCTTTTGAAGAATCTCCTAATCAAGAAATTCATGGGCACTCATCTGAGTATTTCTATGAAATTCCCATAGAAGTAGACTTTTCCACTTAATTCATTCTTGTTCAGAATGACTACAGTGTAACCCTTGAGAAAATCATTTTCATTGTACAGCAAGCCTTTTAGGAAATGAAGAGAATAAAAATGATCTATACTGGGAACTCAGTGTACAGAAGCAGAATATTTTGTAATATAACTTCGCTTTGAAATATAAATTTTGGCCCAAATCCTGTTTGGTAGTTATATGTGCAGAAGGCAAACAGCATAATTTTGCAGGGGTTTCCTGCTAGCTATTAATGGGTCTCTGCTTGGATCTTTGGGTGTACAACAATCCACTGGACTGGTGCACACCCAGAAATCCACAATTCCCAGTATTTCGGTCTACTAGGTAAGCCGTCTCAGTTTGCTGGTAGTTGCAGCCCAGCAGCTTCTGGAGGCTTACCTATGTCACACCTATGTCCAGAGGTATGTTAGATTTAGGAAGACATGCAGGATGAGCTCCACAGTGTGCACTAACAGAAGACTTTGGTTCAAATTAAATTTTAGCAGCCCCTCATAATCGGAACACCAACATTGTACCTTGTTTTGTGTAGAAATCTGGCCTTGCCTGAAAGACTGAAAATCTATTTTGAGTTAGAATAAGGCAGTATTAGGTTAGATGGATAATGTTTACCTTTCTTTGTGGCACCTTCCTCTCCTTTTGAGTCAGAAAGGCATACAGTTATGTATAACTCAGTGAATTTGGGTTCAGATCCCTACTTGGCACAGGGTGACTGTTGGCCACTCACAGTCCCTTAGCCTGACCTGCTTCATGGGCTTGTTGTGAGGATTAAGGGGAAGGGTGAGTAACATAGACGACTTTCAGCTCACTGGAGGAAAGGTAGGGGTATAAATGCAACAAACAAATAACAGATAAAACTAGAATTAAATCAGAGACTTGAGGAAGGATGTATTCCTTGTAAAAGACAATTTATCTTAACCAAGATATCAGCATGTATCACATATCAAGGAGACTGTTACATACAAAGGATATCTCTAGTTGATTATAAGCGTGAGTCTGAATTTCTGCTTCAGAATGTACATGTTAATAATGGTGAGTTTGGACCATTGATATGGAAAGATGTGGGACTAGACTAATCAAACAGTTTCTCCAATCATGTTCAGAATTTCTATTAATTGCAGTCAGAGAAATTCATTTGAAGTTGATCCTAGTCACAGTACAATTTATACTGATATATAACAAATCCTGATTGTTCAGTGTATGTCCATTGGTTTCAAGATAAGCAAGATATAGGATGTTGAGTGTTCAGCAATAAGAACTATGCAATGACAGTTGTGCACTTGTGGCTGCTTAGTCACAGTCTTAAATTAATTCTGTCCTCTATCCCAGAAAAGGTCTGGGTTAAGAATACAAAGAAACTGGCTGCTTTTCTATAAGATTAGACATTGACTCCAGAGTAGATTTTCATACAAAAGATACCGCATTTGATTTAGCATTTCATCTATAGGACAGATAGGATATTAT